AGAGAAAATGCCATCAGGAGCTGACCCAGAGTTTGAAGCATTCTTCACAATCCTAAAGTAAACTTCACAGATTCATTTGTGCACTCAACCAGCATCATCTGACCAAGCACCTCTGTGCCAGACAACCAAAGCATGTGGAATACAAATGGTCCCGGATTTCTGAAGTTTCAACTTAATGATTTTTCAACTTAATAACGCTGTGCTTTCAGCTGTGTAGTTAATGGTGAGAACCCATACAACCATGCTACTTTTCACTTTCAGTACAGTATTCAATAAATTACATGGACTATTCAACACTTTATTATAAAATAGGCTTTGTGTTAGATGATTTTGCCTAACTGTAGGCTACTGTTAGGTGTTCTGAGCACATTTAAGGTAGGCTAGGTTAAGCTTAGATGTTCAGTAGGTTAGGGGTATTAAGTGCATTTTTGACTTACTATATTTTTAACTTACAAAATAGATTTATCGGACATAACCCCATCATAAGTCAAGGGGCATTTGTATGTCAGTGACCTCAGAAAGACCAGGACCCCTCCTCTTCTGGAACTTTTACTTTAGTGGGAGAGACCCACAGTAAACATAAAACAGTCAGTCGTATATTTTGTTATGTGATAAACTGCCAGGAAAAAAGAAATATACAGAGTAGGTTTAGGGGGCTTAGGAGGGTGGGGAAATGAAGGCAGGTCACATTAAGGGAAGGAGGTCAGTGAACAAGTGACATTTGAGTATGAGCGAATGAAGGAGGTGCTGAAGGAGTGAGTCACGTGGTTCTCTGAGGCAAGAGTGTCCCCTGCACGTGGTGTAAACTTTCTCGCACAACTAATGCGGTAAACCAAACTGTATATTGACCCAACGGGATGACAGAGAAGGGATAAAATAAAAGTACTTTATAATCAGATAAGTGTAATGAAATAGTGGACAGCTTCTAGAAGAAACATTGCAAAGGCTTCAGCTACAAAAGTAGAGCAACATAGGAGTGTGATAGTCATGATCCAAACATCCCAAGAGGCTTTGATTTTCTGAAATAGTAAATAACTCTTGGCAGACTAGGGACTAAATGATATATATTCGCCTCACACCTTACACAGTAGCTGCATTCCTGGAAAATTCAGTACATGTTCAAATCATACAGTAATACGAAGTGCTTACTTGTCAAATGGAGTTTGGTTCTTAGCTCAGATCATTAGAACAGATCCTCACATGTTTGCACGTCTGCTTGGACCTCGAGTGGTGGGTGTCCTGGAAAACGGGGTGTTTATTGTGTGAGATAGGACCTATCAGCTCATTGCCAGAGAATAACCTGGTTTTCACCCTTGAATTAAAAGCCAGTAGCGTACCCTATTCATGGTGACTACTAAAGGGTATCCTCACATTTCCAAAATACCCCCCAGGAGTCAGTATTATCCCAGTTGAGAACCATTGCTCTAAACCATTTATTTTGCAAATGTGAAATCAGAGCACTCCATGGGTGAAGTGGTTTGTCTGTGATCACACAACCAAACTACTAGGGCTAGTTATTATGAACAGTTATATACAATGATAATAATTATTTGATCAGCATCTTTGTGCTTTTCTATTGAGTTTGACCCAAGAGGAAACACACTAATAAAGAACAGATGCCTTATAATGTGTTTCAAAATAATAACTTTCATTTCTCAGTTATGAATGCTCTGACTGCTGGATGGGTAAGGCTTGAACAAGGCAGGGAGACAGGAGGCAGTCCTTGCCTTGGCTTGGGCAGTAGTGCTTGGGTTAGATGTTCATTGAGGGGGAAGCAGGGAAGAAGGGTTTCACTCTGTCCCTCTTTTAGAAGAAAGCATGGTTCTTATCTCTATAAAATGGGGATTGAAGATTCCTCCTGTTTTCTTAGGGATGATGAAAATTAAACAAGGCATTGCAATCATATGGATTTGGTACAGAGTAAGTTATCAATAAGTTGCTGCTATCATCATCATCATCGTCATCCCTCTAATAAAAAGAGAGCTCTCACTGCTTACACTTTAGTGTGGAAAATAGTGTAGACTAAAGCGCAAAAAAGTGCTAGAAGTAAGAAAGCCCATAGAGGGCGCTCTGGTGAAACTTGCTCTTCCCCTTGATATAAAGCAATGAATAGAATCAAGGATTCCTTTTTTGGTTCCTACTCACCGGCCTTCCCTCTGAATTTCTGCTTATCTGGTGTCCAGCCTTCTTCCTCTTCTACTTCCTTCCAACAGGAAACTTTTGTGACCTTTTCCCTAAGAACAACCCCATTTCTATTCCTGTAAAATCGTCTTCTGTTGGGAGGGAGGAGGCTCTTACAGGAGCCTGGGCTGGTCCTCCTGCCCCAGGAGAGAACCTGAGGCCTCATCTGACCAGCATGCAGACCCCGGCCTGGGCCAGGTGCCAGGTGACATCAGCAGAAGCAGAGGAACGCCAGGAGTTCTAAGCTTCCTCTCTAGGGTCGCTGCTCAGCCACTGCCATCTCAACCCCATTCTATCTTCTATTTGTAAAGAAAATGGTTTCTACCCACCCCCTTCCAGAGCTGTGGGCTGGGATATGGGGTTGGGAGGTGGCCTCTGGTGAAGAACGGAAGAGGGAAGCATTATCTTACAATAGAAATAGCCATCATTGGTCCTGCCCAGGTGGCTCAGTTGGCTGGAGTGCTGTTGGCACACCAAAAGCCTGTGGTTTCAATTCCTGGTCAGGGCACATACCATGTGCGGGTTCCATGTGTGGGCATTCCTCTCTCTCTAAAATCAATAAACATATCTTCTGATAAGGTTAAAAAAAAAACAGAAACAGCCATCATTTATGATAGTCCACTGTGCTACAGACTTTAAAGGTAATTTTTAAAAACTCAAACATGTATAGGTAATATCTATACAGTACAAAAAAAAGATAATCAGTAAATAACCCCCGCCATTGTCCTGAGATGTACTGTCCATTTACAAACACATACATATTCTTGTTTTTTCTTTACTCAAATGGTAGCTTACCTACCACACTTCTGCACCTTGCTCTTTTTAACTTACATACTTCTATACATAGAACTTTCTATATATCTACATATAGAGCTATATAATAGCTGAACATATGTGTCAAAATTGATTTAACCAGCCTCCTTTCTATGGAGATTTAGGTTGCTTCCATTCTTTTGCTCTTATAAACAACATTGCAGGGAATATGCTTATACAAATGTCATTGTGTTGCAGAATTTAAAGTTTTTATGCAGTTGAATTTATCATGCTTTTTCGGTTTCTGGGCTTGGGTCCGCTTAGTAAGGACTTCACCTCTCAGATACTTAAATGAAAACCCTTATTATTACTATTTTAGTACCTTCATGGTGTTACTATTTACATTTATATCTTCAGATTTTATTTCATATAAGTGCGATGTTGGTATCCAGGTTAGGTTTTTTTCCCCCAGACACTCTGCTCAGGCACTTCAGGTGATTATTGTTACCACAGCGCGGAATCTGGCAGTATATGCCCATTTTACAGATGAGGAAACAGGCTCGGAGAGGCTGAGGCATGTGGTCCAGCTCACTCAGGAAACAACTGGAAACTTAGATCCCTGTTGGAAACCCAGTGACCTTACCTTTAATACGATAAAAAGTCTTTATTTTGAGCCAGGCAATTATTTTTTAAAAAATAATAAACTGTGTATTTTGGAATAGTTTTAGAGTTACAGAAAAAATTTCAAAATAGTACAGAGGGTTTCCATACACCTCAGATTCAGTGTCTCTGATTATTACTATCTTACATCAGTACGGTACATTTCTCATAACAGATGAACCAATATTGATACGTTGTTATTATTTGAAGTCCACACTTTATTTGGGTTTGCTTAGTTACTTTTTCCCGTTCCACATTCCCACCCTGGCTACCACATTACACTTATGTAGTATGGGGTCATGTCTCCATAGGCTCCACTTGGCTGTGATAGTTCTCAGACTTTTCCTTTTTTTGATGACTTTGACAGCTTTGTGGAGCTGATCAGATATTTTGTAGAATGTCCCTTGATTAGGGTTTGTCTGATGTTTTGCTTATGATCAAACTGAAGTTATGGGTTTGGAGGAGAAAGACCCCCCATAGGAAAAGTGTCATTTTCATGACCTCAAATCAAGGGAGCATGCCATCCACATGACTTGTAACTGTTGATGTTGATGTTGATTGTCTGCCTGAGAGTGTTTGCCACGTGTTATCCAGGTAAAGTTACCGTACTTGTCTGCCCTGCCCTCCCTTTCCATACTCTTCTCTTTGGAAGGAAGTCACTGTGTGCAACTCACACTTAAAGGATGAGGAGTTATGTGCCCCCTCCTTGAGCCATATATATTATCTGGACTTCTTCTGCATAGGACGCTTCCCCATTTTTTAATTTAATTTGGCAATTACTGGTATTATATACAAATGTATATACAATTACATTTATTTATTTGGTGTTTACCTTTAATTCCATGTTATAAAATGTACATGGATAGATGTACACCGGCAGAGATGAAACACAGACATGTCGTAAAATTTAAAAGACAAACAGCATAGAGGGAAAACTTCTCTGGCACCTTTCTCACCCAGCCATCCAGCTCTGCACTCTAGAGGTATCTTATGCATCTACAAACATGTTTATTCTCCCCACTCCCCACCCCCCCACCCCCGTTCTGTACCCAAATGGTAACTTATTAGAAACACTTGTTTGCCATTTGGTTATTTTTATTATACTTTTTAAAAATTTTAGTAAACTGTCTGGGAGTTCGCCTCTTGTCAGGCCGCTCCTTGTCAGGCCGCTGGATGGAGCCGTCCGGGATCGCCAGCTACGGCCCCCATCCCTGAGCCGGGACGCGGCGGGCCTTACATCACACCACAGGCTGATGACACGTCCCGGCCGCGCGCGCTGCCCCTCGAAGGGTCCAGAGCGCGGCGGGCGTGTGAAGAGCTGTCTCCGCGCCCCGCCCCAGCCTCTGTGACGTCCACGCCGGAACCTGGAATCCCGGCTCCGAGAGGGAAGGGCAGGAGGCGGCGGCGGCGGCGGCGGCGGCCGTCGGAGCGAGTCTCCGGCTGCCTCCGGTGCGCAGAGCACAGCCATGAGCGAGTCCAGTGCCAGTGCGCTCCCGCCGGGCAGGCCCAGCAGGCAGCCCTTCATCCATCCAGGTAAGGCGGCGGGACGGTGCTCCTAGCGGTCAGAGGGCACAGGGCGGGCGCGAGGTGCCCGAAACGTGACGAGGGCCCAGCCTCCTCCCTACCTACCAGTCCTTGGGGAAAGGACTTACTTTCTTACTCCTGCTGTTCCTCCTCTAACCCATCCTCATCCAGGTGAGAGGGCGCATGCCCTACCGAAGGAGCACTATAGTGGAGTCTGGACCGTGGTGGCTTTTCCTTGAGTTGCTGGGCGAGGGATCCCAAGCTAGTCTCTAGCCTTACCTGTTAAATGAGAAGATTTTGAGACCCCCGCCAGTTCTAACATCCTGGTAGGAGGTGCCAGCCCCCAAACATTTCAGGGTTTACAATTAGATGGGCTTGGAACCGAATTCTCCCTCGACTGTTTATTGCTGTGTGATCTTTGGTAAACGGCATGCCTTCTCTGAGCCTCATATTCTTAAGTGGTAAAGTGAGAATAGAAGTTGCGGGCATTAGCTGAGAGAAAATGTGTGAAGTGCCTAGCACTTTCTCTGGTACAGAGAAAGCGGAACAAATGGTAACTGAGCAAGCATTATAACCTCTCTCTTTTTTTTCTTTTTTCTTGGGTAAAAGTTGTGCCCTGCTATGTGAATTTTTACAAAATTATGTACAACCACCATTCAGTCAAGACAGAAAAACTGCCAGTACCCAAGACAGACTTCCTTGTAGCATTTTTGTGTTTAACAAAACAGAAGACCATATTGTAAATTTTATCTGCAGCATTTTCTCTAATTCATTTTGAAAATAGTGGTTTTGTTACAAGGATTTACAGTAAAACATGAGCGCAGATTTGGGCACTAGGCCTGTTTGGATTGTTCTCAATGTCTAGAAGAAGAAAAAGAAAAGACATCCAGAAGGAACCCAAATCCTGGGAACTTGCTCAGGAATCAGGACTCAGGCTGGGTTTCATGATAATTCTTTTTTTAGCTCATCATTAATACTGCTGGCATCAACTCAGTTTTATCCTTTCAATAATGGTCATTCAAGGACTATTTTTTAGTTAGTGTTGTTTTTATCTTCCTCTTATTTTAGCACAATCCATCACATTCAAGTTGCTAATCATGGTTTCCTATACAGAAGGCATGAGATTAATCTATTTTGGACATTTACTGCATGTTTAAGGGGACCCTAAGCATCTTTTAGGAATATTATTACCTTTCTAAAGTCTAACCTATTCCTTGGACAGATGGTATTTTTGAACTTGTATCCATCAGCATGGGTGGAAGGCTCAGAAGGGACATGTTTATAACTTTGTAAAACTTTGTTAACTGTTACCTATTATATGGGTATCATGGGAGTACAATTGGAAGTAGGCAGGAGACAAAGGAGATCTGGTTTACAGAATAGGCCATATGCCTCCTTTAAATGAGAAAACAGATCACACCTCTCCCTTTCGTAATTAAAACTTCCCCGTGGCTTCCCCTTGCTCTGAGAATGAACTCCAGCCTTTTCTACGGTGGCCCCCAAGGCCTGGGGATTTGGCCAGCCTCCTCTCCAGGCCCTCAGCACTCTTAACCAGTCCTACTCCAACTACACTGGGTGTCTTCCCATTCCTCCAACCTGTCAAGTTTGTTTCTGCCTCAGGGCCTTTGCATCTGCTGTTCTCTTTGCCTGGACTACATTTCTCTTTGCTCTTTGTATGAGATGTTTTGTTTTTAAGGGTAGGGATGGGGTTCAGATACTGATTTAGCCTTGCTCTTTGCATCCTCTTCCTCCTGTCAGGTCTCTGTTCAAATGTAACTTCACAGAGGCAGGCCTCTGGAGTCATCTTGTCTGAAGAAGTAGCCCAGTCTCGCTTTCCCTGACCCATCACCTTGCTTATTCCTTCAAAGCACTTATCACCATCTGAAGTCATATAGTTTGATTTGATTGTAGCTGCCTCTCCTAGAATGTGGGTGCCATGAAAAACAGGGACTGTGTCTTGTTCCCTTAGGACCTAGAACCAACCATGTTTGGTACATAGTAGATACTAAATAGTGATGAATAGACAAAGGGAAGGGAGGCAGCTATATGGTAGTGGTTGTACGTCTAAACTCTACTTCCCAGATGCAAATCCTCCTTTTCCCATTTACTGGATTTGTCTTTGGGCAAGGGGCTTAACTGCTTGGTGCTTCAGGGTCCATATGTATTAAATGGAGATAATGATAGTACCTACTTCAGGGGGTTATTATAAGGACTAAGAGAGTAGATTTATATAAAGAACTTAATGTTTATATTTGTTATCTATGCTGTTACAAATCACCCTCAAACTTAATGGCTTGGAAGAGTAATACTCATTATCTTACGATTCTAACAGTCAGGACCTTGGGAGTGATCTGTCTAGGTGGTTCTGGCTCATGGTCTTTCATGAAGTTGCCGCCATGGTGTCAGCTAGGGGCTTGCCTGTGTCTGGAAGATCCCTTCCAGGATGACTTGCTGACACAGATGGCGAATTGACACCAGCTGTTGGCAGGAGGCCTCTGTCCCTTCCTACATGCACCTCCCAGGGGCCACTGAGTGTTGTTATGACATGGCGGCTGACTTCACCCAGAGCAGCTGATCTAAGAGGGAGCAAAGTGAACCGGTGCTGTCCTTTATGATCTGGTGTTGAAAATCACACTGTGGCATTTCTGCAATATTGTATTGGTCACATGGATCAACCCCGTTCAGTGTGGAAGGAGCCTAGATAAAGGTGTGAATGCCAGCATACTCGGGGGAGAGGATGGATTGGTGGGGACCATCCCGAAGACCGCTGCCATGGGACCATGGGAGTGCTAACTGTTGTTGTTAATTAATGTCTCTGCCTCCCCTACGAGATGATAAGCTCCAGGAGGGCAGGGGCGGGGACTTTTAGACTCACCATTGCATCCCCTGCTTAGCACGGTGTTTGGTACCTAGTAGACATTTAGTAAATATTGGTTGAGGGATGTTCTTTGTGGTTTTTGCCCTGTCCCAGCTTCTATATCTACTCCCCGCCCCCACCATCTGCCTTACGGTTTGCTTCTTGAGCCTGGGAAGCTCCTTCTGTTCCCTCTCCTGGGGCCATTGCCTTACTTCATTATAAGGCGTACTGCTCTTCTCTTCTTCAATCTGGTGTCACTTCCCCTTAGAAGCCTTCCCTGAGTACCTCTCCTCCCACAGGCTGGACTATGTGTCCCTGCTCTGTGCCCACACAGACGCTGGCCTTGCCCTGTCAAAATATCCATTGAACTGTATTCTCAAGTCTCTTGAGATGTTTTGTTTTTAAGGGTAGGGATGGGGTTCAGATACTGATTTAGCCTTGTGGCCTTGAGCAAGTTACTTCTTTTTCTGAGCCTCCATCTATAAAGCAGAGGTTCTCGTAGGAGTAGAAGGTGGAGGACCACCTTGACCCAGGGCCCTAACAGAGGACCGCCATCTGAGCATTTACGCCTGCTGCTCCCGCTTCTCCCCCGAGCTCCAGCCACCTGCTAGTCCCTCCTCATGTTTCCTTTCTCCTGTCTTTGCAGTTGCCGTTCTCTCTGCCTGCCACACCCTTCACGCCGCTCTTCCTGTGGCCAGCTCCTCACACTTCTGATCTCAACTTGAATGTTGCCTTCTCCAAGAGGCAAATATCCCACTGTATCTCAAGTAGCCCTCAGGAGACATTCTGCCCACTCGTGGGCCCCTCAGCCCCATGGTGTCTGGTGTGTTCTTTGTTTGTGGAATAGAATGACTCTTCTTGGCTTTTTCTCTTTGCCAAATGTTGTTGATATTCTAGTTACTAAGTACTTCATACCATGTTATCTTCAACTAGCATGCATGCAGCGACTATTTTTCTAATTGAGGTATAATAATTCACATAACAGAATCAACCATTTGAAAGTGTGTAATTCAGCAGCATTTAGTACACTTACAGTGTTGCACAGCCATCTCCTCTATCTGGTCTCAAAATATTTTCATCGCCCCCAGAGAAAACCCTGTGCCCAGTAAGCAGCCACTCCCTGTTTTCTCCTCCCCAGCCCCTGGCTACCACCCATCTGCTCCCTGTCCCTATGGATTTACCTGTTCTGGACATTTCATGTAAATGGAATCATACAATACATGACCTTTTATGGCTGTTTTTCTTCCTCTTAAAATAAATAATGTTTTTGAGGGTCATCCACGTTGTAGTATGTGTCAGAACTTCATTCCTTTTTATGGCCAAATACTGTCCCATTATGTGGATATATCATGGTTTATCCATTTATCCATTGATGCACATTTGGATTGTTTCCACCTTTGGCTATTAGGAAAAATGCTACTGTGAACATTTATGTGCAAGTTTTTGTTTTAACATCTACTCTCAGTCATTTGGGGCATATGCCCAGGAGTGGAATTGCTTGATGATATGGTGTGTTTCACTTTTTGAGGGAGGGCCAAACTCAGAGACTTCTGACCCTTCTGTGGGGAGTGACTGTGACCATTCTCATTGTTCAGTGGGAGAACCGAAGTGACTCACCCAAGATGATCCGATCGCCATGATGTGGTGGCTGCGCAGAATCAAAAACAGTGTGCTGGCTAGAGCCACTGACCTCTTCTCTCTCCTCTTCAAGGGGCACTGCTTTTAGGAGGGGATCCGGAGGGCCTTGATGTGACTGTATTTGGATTAACCCCCCTTGCTAGAGGGTGAGAGTTGGTCTGGGCCTTTGAAGCAGGGAATACCTGGAAGCGTGAAGGGGTAAAACTGAACAGCCCCGTTAGACTCCTCCTGTGAGGGAAGTTGGAACTTCTTCAGTTTAGTTTTGTTTTTTAAAGATAAATGAAGAGGACCTCTGGTGGTAGTTTTAATGGAGCCGCCTGGCCTAAGTGTGAATCCTAACTTGGCCAGTTTTCCATTGTATGTACCTTGAGCAAGTCCTGTTACCTCTCTGAGCCTCAGTTTTCTTGTCTGTAAAATTGGGATAATCATACTCTGCTAGTGCCACTAAGAGGATTTGAGGAGATAAACACGTCAAGAATCTAGCACCACACCAGGCAGGTGCTGTGCACTTGAA